AAGAAACCCGAATTCCAGAAAAGTTTAGACCTAAGGGGCCACCCTCATCATCCTTCCTTCCGATCTGGTAGAGTTCAGCCCTAGGATTATCTGACTGCCCACTTGATAAATCTGTCAGACTTAGAGTGCTGCTAGAGAGAAATCACCCCACTCTGCAGCCTGGCACCACCATGAATGTATGGCACCAGACCCCAGAGGACCATCAGCACCGAGCAGCCTGCCCACTGAAGCTCCTTATTTAGTATTTTTTTTCTAGTCTCTCATAGTTGCTATTTTATTCCTCCTCCATAAATCTGTGTACTTCTCCATGCTTAAAATAGCATTCCTACTGCTCTTCATAAATGGTCATCCTCCTACACATGGTGTCTTGGGCCTTTGTGATCTGCCCTTACTTCTCCAGCTTTATTTCTTGCCACTCCCTTAGTCTTGTATTCTATGTCCCAGGCACACTCAATGGTAGTTAGTTCATCAAATGCCTTATATTCTCTCTATCTGCTCTGGGTCATCCCTTTGCATAGACGGTTTTGTCTGACAAGACACATCCTATGTCCCACTTCAACCCCAACTAAACATAATCCCACTTCTGATTCTGGCTCAGATCACTCCTTCAGGAAAGTGTTCCCTGATCCCCTGGCTTAGTTTGGGAAACTAACTACACGCTCTGACAGTACTTGGCATTCCACCTACAATGGCAGTGACTCACTGACTTACCTATTCTTCTTGATGCAAATCTCTACTTGTTCATTTTGTCTCTAGCAAGAAAAGGGCTGGTAAGTACTCAGAAAGAAATTATCAAGGGTCAAGTTAAGGAGTTTGAATTCTAGTCAGTAAATAAAGAAGACCCAGCTAAATTTTTTAAACAGATGAGTGATGTTGCTCAACTGTAAACATCATGAGGTCAAAGATCATTATATATATATATTTTTTAAGTTTGGCTATACGGCATTTGGACTTGCTTGGGGAGGAGGGGAGAGAGAAAGTGAGAAATCATTCTCCAGGGGAGATAGCCATGTCACAAGCTCTTTTCCTCCATTCTTCTCTCGGGACTTTGGGCACATATGCACATGTGCTTGTATATTCGATTTTCAAGCCACTGGGTTCAGGACTTGAACCACACACTTGGCCATGTGGAATCTAGTCACTTTAACCTCCATACCATCTATCTGCTTTCAAGGACTATACTTACTGGGTTTACCACTGTACCCTGAAAGCACCCAGCATAGCATCTGCTACTTTGTAGATACTCATATATGTATTAAATAAGTAAATAAATGAAGGAAATCTTTCTAGAAAGATGACTCTAAGTGGGTAGGATGAATTAGAATGGGAAGGGTCAACAGGGTAAAATCCGTTAGCAAGACATAGCAAACATAAAAGAAAGTACAATAGTGTCAGTGAAGAAGGATTACAGAAGCTGGATTCAGGAGACATTGCTGAGAAATGACTGAAAAGAACTGGTGGCTATTAAGACGTGAGGATGAGGAAGCAGGAAAGCAGTGGATGAAACAAATCTTAGTTTGAGTGACAGGGAGACTGACACAACCATTAGCCAAAATGTTGAATGTACTGGGCAGAATAGAACCCTGAGGAAAAGTGTGTTGAGTTGGACATGATCTTGGACCATCAGGAGGATGCACTTAATCAGCGTGTGGATTAAGCATGCAGAAGGGAGGGTAGAAAAGCAGATAAAGACTCGAATGGTCAGCACTTGGGTGGTCACTGAGGACAGAAAACAATATGAAGTCTGTTAAGGGTAAGGTTGTAGAACAAGAATGGAAATCTGGAGGAGGAAAACACCCAAGGGGTAAGGCAAAGGAGCAGCAGAACTGGTCAGAGAATAAGGTCACGCGGGAGCACGATGCTGTGAAGCCGAGACGGTGCTTTCAGAACTTGGATGAGGATAGCTGTGCCAAAAGCAGAGGAAATTCATGTAAGTGAAATGGCATTTTGGAGGCCTATGGTCCTTGGACGGTGATTTCAGTGGTGACTGTAGAATAGTTGGACTGATGAGGAGTAAAATGCCGCTGAGAAACTGGTGACAATGAGTATAAACCAGTGTTTTTCAAGAAGGCGACGGTAATAGAAAGGAGGGTGATAAGGAAAAACCTGAAAAGAAATTAAAGGTAAAAGATTTTTTTTTTCCGTTATTTTCTTTCTTTTTTCAAAAATTTGGATCTTATCCTGGTAAAAGATGCAAAAAAATAAAAAGAGAGAGAGAGCAATGACATGAAAAAGGACAGTCATAACTGATAAAACAAAAATCATTCTCAGTGAGAGAAAAGAGAAATTGCCTTCCCCCACACACAGTTTTTTTTGGTAAAATGAAAGAAAGGTCAGTCTCTGAAATTCATGAATGATGACGTAGGCTAGATAGCTTCAAAAGAGTGGCAAGAGTTAGAAAAGGCAGGTACGTAAAAGAACTTCTAATCATGAATGAGGACCCAGGTAAATTCAGAAGACATGTATTTTTCTCTTTTTTTAGGAATTACTTTATCTAAGTTTATTTATTTAAAGAGGTTTTTTTGTTTGTTTGTTTCTTTTTGTTGTTGTTGTTGTTGCTATAGGGCTCGTGCGCTCACCAGAAAGAGAAACAGAGAGACAGAAAGCAAGAAATCACCCCCTGGGGGGATGGCCATGCCACAATCCCTTCTCCTCTATTCTTCTCTGGGGATCTTGGGTACGCACGCACACGCGCCCAGCATAAGTTTAAGCCACCAGGTCCGGGACTCGAAATGCGGTCAACTACATGGAGTCCAGCAACGTAGCCATTATACCAACTGCTGGTTCCTTATTTATTTATTTATTTACTTACTTATTTATTTTTCATTTGAGCAGAGAGGGACAGAGAGTGAGAAAGAGAAAGTGAGAAAGCAAGTCACTGGGTCCAAGACTCGAACTGTGGCCAGTTATGTGGGAGTCCAGTGTCCTTAACCACCATGTTACCTGCTGGCCCCAAAGACATGTATATTTAATTCCACCATTCTCCTGGTTGACAAGTTTTCTCCAGCAGTGCTTGGCTGACCAGAAACAGAAAGTGTGAGGGTATATCCATCCAGTTTGCAAGCAGGATATACAGGTGCAATGGACAGAGAGGGGCTAAGGAACTCATGAGTCCTGGAAGGGTGGGAAAGAAGAAATGTCATATGGAAAAAGTCCAGGAATCGTTACTACAGAGATCCATGAGAATGAAGAACAGGTTAAGTGGCAGGAAGGAGAAGCACAGAGCTATTTTTCCTTGCCTCATCTCTCAGCTTCCCAGTCTGCAAGCTTACTAATCACGGAGAGCCTGTCTTAACCATCGTCACATTTGCAAAGCTCTGCTCAAAAGAGGTACTTGATACATGTTTGCCTGATTGAAGGCAACTGGAGACTGGCAAATGACAACCTGTCAGCCAAATCCAGCCTACCATCTACTTTCATACGGCGCATGAGCTGAGGAAGTTTGTTTTATATATTTTTTTTAAACTTCAGACATTATCACTTTAATTGCCTGCTAGATCATCAGATGGAAACATGTGGCCAGTGACTGGAAACATGGCTCATAAACTTAGATAGGCAAGCATATTTTAGACCATTTTAGGTTTAGATATTCACCAGACTGGACATTTTTTTTAAGATTTAAAATAAAACTTCTTGTTATGAAAAACAAAGCAATAAATTAAAACTGGTTTCCTCAATTGCCCAAACTACTTTTAAAACATAACTCAATTTTTGTTACATTTCTTTAAACATCAAATTTTTTTGACAAATCTATCCAAAATATTGTTTCCATTTAGAACTGAGTTTGTGTAAGTGTGCCCTAAAATCATGTCCATCAGGTTACCTTTCTTTAAGCCCTAATAGTTATCTTCCCTCTAAAATGTGCATCTCTTAATTAAGTTGTCATTTTCAAAGATATTCTGGAGAAAAACTTATGAATTAAGCACTTATAAATTCTTCTTCACTTCTGTTATAGTGTAGCAATTTATCATCTAACCCATAATGGTCTATCAGTTGAGTCAGGCTTCGTTTCTTGTTCTCTTCAGACATATCTGACTGTAACTCATAAAGCAACAGCTGGCTACAGCTTTTCTACTTCTTTATTAACAACTGTAATTGAGACAGGTTGTTCTTTGATCTTAACATTTTGACTAGTTTTAGCCTCCAAAGAAGGTCTTCTTTCTCCTGAATATGCTTCACCAATTTTGCTTTTTCTTCATTTAATACTTGTTTAGGATAACTCTCCTTCAAAAAATCATTTCGGAGAGCATAGGTATCAAGTGATTTCGATTCACATGTACTGACATCCTTGAAGGCATTTTTCAAATGTGTGTTTTCTTCAAATTCACTGTCTATATGTTTAAAACTGTCTTCCATTGAAGACACTGGTTTCTCTGAAAAGGTCTGACCACTTTCTTCATTCTCTACTTTAAGATGCTTTACCACACTGTAGTGGAAATTAAATGAAGACCTTGTTTTCCTTAATTGTTCTGTAAGTGTGGCACTCATAGGATCCTTTTGCCACGCCCAAAGGGTGTCAGGTTTTTTACATTTTTAAGCGGTTGGAAACAATTTAAAACAATAATATTTTCTGACACATAATAACTAGATGAAATGAAACAGACATACTCATTCATTTATATACTACCTACGGTTGCTTTCGCTCTACAATGGCACAAGTAAGTAGTTGTGACAGGGTTGTATGATGTGCAAAACCAAAGATACTTTACAAAAAGAAAAATGTGGTGGCCTCTGAACTAAGGTACAGAGTTATAAGTTAAAGTCTTAGGGGATCTGTCTAGCATGATGAGAATGAACTGTGTACATACGTGCATGGTGATGGTGATAGTGTCTTTCAGACACGCGGAGCTAGTTTCAGAGAAACTATAATTTCACAGATGCATAAGAACTATAACTTCGTATTGCCCAGTTGCTTGGAATTTGAACACGAGACTGCTTTGATTGCATATAGTTCTTTAGGGACCATGGCAGCCTAGAAGCCACCAAGCTCTGGTGCTCACCTCCCAGCTCTTTGTTGTCGGCTCACTGAAGAAGTTGTCGATCATATTCAGTTCTTCCTTTTCCACCACCACAAAGCCTTGCTCTTTGGCATCTTTCCCATAGACATCAGGAGACCATTGAACAAAGAATGTGTACAAGTGATCCACCCTGAAAAACATGTTTATGATAGGCATTAACATCCAGTGCACTTTCCTGGCAGGCACTAGTAGGGACCTGCATATGCAAAACCATCTTATTCCTGCTTGGCAAATCCATTTTGCTATTTGGGAAGTTTGCCACTGTCTCTTTAAGTGACCTTCCAAATGAGAAAGTAGGAATCAACAAATGAAAGCCAAAGTCCACAGGCACTGAGAAACTATTAAAGCTTTCTTCTAATATGAGAGAAAGCTCAAGAGATATGACATTAAACTAGAAAGCAGACTGAAATATTGATACTAAGTGTCTCTCTGTCTTTATTTATTGGTCACTTAATATTCACTGAGAACAAATACTGATCTGAAGCTTTAGCTGGGAACAAAGATTAAAAAATATTCCAGTGGATCTTTATTTAGAACAAAGTATTGTTATTATGTAATTTTAATAAAACATTTTTGATAATTAGAAAGTATTGGGAGTAATACTAGCTATTATTAGAATATTAAAAAGACCTAATTCTATTGAAATAGGAATGTATTTTGCTTCTAATTTCTATGTTCTCTTATACATATTTAATATATGAAGGTTCTGGAGCATTTCTCCAGACTTAATCAATGGAAATTTGGCTACTTCTTGAGCATGGAAAGGTAGGTCTCAGTTCCCACACCTGTAATATCCTCCTCAACCTATGTCCGCCAAAAGCATTGTGACCTTAGATTCCACGCCTATAATCATTACAGCAGGGAAGAAGGTAATAGAAAGGATCAAAAATAATTCTCAGGGACTGGCAGGTGGCATGGTGGTTGGGATGCTAGACTCCCACATGGCCAACTATAGTTCAGTCCTGGACCTGGCAGCTTGCTTTCTCACTTTCCCTCTCTCTCTCCAGTCAAATTAAAAAATAATAAATAATGGGGACCAGCAGTTGGCGTAATGGTTATCTTGCTGGACTCCCATGTAGTCGAAAGGTTCGAGTCCCAGATCTGGTGGCTTAAACTCTTGCCAGGCGCATGTGTGTGCGTGCCCAAGATCCTGAGAGGAGAATGGAGCAGAAGGGATTGTGGCATGGCCATCCCCCTGGGGGATGATTTCTTGCTTTCTGTCTCTCTCTGTCTTTCTGGCGAGTGCACACACCCTTTGCGAGTGCAAACAACCTAGAGCAAAAACCTCTCCAAAAAAAAAAAAATAAATGAAAAATAATAAATTAAATTAAATAATTATTTCAAAAAATAATAATTTTCGAAGTCTCTTCCAATTACAAAAATTATTATTTCCATTTGAGGCTACTGTTTGAGACAATGCTAACTTACCATTAATTTTTTTAAAGTTATAATTACTTAAAATATTGGGTTGTCAGAAGAGTCACAATGCATAGAAAAACAGAAAAAAATATGTCATGACTTTTCTGACAACCTTATATTCTAACAATAAATAGGATAAAATAAAAACAGAAATGTCACCCACAATCTGATTTCCCAATGGGTCAAACCATACTTCGGTTTCCACATTCCTTTCCATTCTTCTTCACATATATACACAGTTTAGTTTTCTTTTTGTTGTAATCAGCCAAGACAAGATTATCTGTTATAAGTAACATTTTGTAACATACATTTACCACTAGTCTTTGTACTTTTTTTTTTTTTTTTAGGTTTTTGCTGTAGGGTGCATGCACTCACTGGATAAAGACAGAGAGAGGGAAAGTGAGAAATTACCCCCAGGGTGATGGCTAAGCTGCAATCATTGTTCCTTTACTTTCCTCTTGGGATTTTGGGCATGCACTCACACGCCTGGAGTGATTTTCAAGCTGCAGTTAGGAACCCAGCACTTAGCCACCACACCACCTGCAGGCCCCATGTACCCATTTTTAATAGCTGTATTTTAGGAAATTAATTAACTGTAATTAGCCTGTATTCCTATGTCATCAGAATATTTAGCTTGTTCCTATTTTTTGACCAAATGTATAATGCTGCAATGAACATACACAGTTCCACACCTCGTACCAGCTTTTGAATTATTTTCCAAGATTAGTTCCCAGAAAATAGATTACTGAGCCCAAGGGCATCATTTTATAGCTCATGATTCATCCTGCCATACTGCTTTTGAAAAGTTGACTAGTTTACTCTGAGACAAGCAATGTAGTTTATGTTTCAAGGTTCATAACAACTTGCCTATCTTTTTTTCTTTTAATGAGTTTAATATGTACGTTTTATATACACTTGGCATTTATTTCTTAGGGTGTAGAACATTTTTCAGTGTGTGTATGCACCTGGTCTTCTTCCTGGTTGCAGCTTTTCTTGGGTGAATTAGCTCCTGGTGATTTGTGGCATTACTGTTTTTAAGTTATGAGAACCTTTCTGTCATGTAAATGCTAATCCCTGTCAAATGTATTTCCAAGCTGGTGTTTTCTTTCTATACTTACCATGTTTTCCCTTTATAGTTCAGAATTAACACGTTTCATAATTATTTTTTTTTATTTGCTATAGGTTGTGTGTGCTCACCAGAGAGACAGAGAGAGGGAAAGTGAGAAAGTACCTCCCAGTAGGGATGGCCACGTCATAATTCCTTCCCCTTCATTTTTATCTTGGAATTTTTGGCATGCACACAGATGCACTGAAAATGTTTTTCAAGCAACCTGGTCAGGAGGAGAACCTCCCAGTTAACCATACATCTTATTGATCACACTGTCTGCTGGCCCAGTTTCATTCATTTTAAAGGTACATTTACTTTTTCTTTTGAATATAATTTTTCTTTTGTTATCCAAGAGGGGGCACATGTATACAGATCAAAATAAGAGGGAAAAAAAAAAAAAACACCCTAGTGGGACTTGTTCACACTGTAATAACTTCTTCCTCCAATTCTCCATCCTGTCAGAATCCTGGAATGTGTGTGCAGCTGCTATATAAGCCATCTAAGCCGTGCCTCAAATCCTGGCAAGCCATGTGGAATCTGGTTTTCTCTGCACAGAGCTTAACCAATGCTCAACAGACATATTTCCTTTTAGGTTTCTCTTTTGAAAAATGGAAAATGTTACCCTAAACAAGTTATGTATCAGAGTATATGCTATACTACCATTCTTATCTAAAAAATAGATTTTAGTAACTATGATTGTACATGGCCACACTGGTCATGTTTCAACTGGGGGAAGCCATGGTGCCCAGTTTTTGGTCAAACACCAGCCTAGATATAGCTGTGAAGGTATTTTTAATATGTGATTAACATTTAATCAGTAGATTTTGAGAAAATCAGATTGTCCTCTAACATGTGGGTAGGTCTGTTCAATCAGTAGACAGCCTTAAAAGAAAAAGGCTAAGGTACCTCAAGGGAGAAGAAATTCAGCCACGACTTTCTTCAGATAGGATACTGTAAGACCAACTCCTCCCCAAGTCCACAGCCTGCCAGTCTGCCCTAAATATTTCAGACTTGCCAGCCCCTATGACTGCTTAAGAAGCCTTAAAATACAGATAATATACATCCTTTTGGGTCTATCTCTCTGGAGGACCTTACTAATATAATGAACTACTGTGAAAGGCCACAAAGAAACTGATATAAATGGTTACCTAAGAGGAATGGACAAAGGTGGGACAAAGATACTTATATTGTATATACTTTTTAAAATATTTTCATTATTTAAAATATTTATGATACAAACATCAAAATTGTATTTTTTAAAGGTTCCTTCTCACTCCACCCCATGCCCCTATAGGTGTTCACTTCATTCATTTATTATATTGTTTATAATTTTGTAGCTAGAAAAAATATGAATAGGGCCAACAGGTGGCATGGTGGTAAAGGCACTGGCCTCCCACATGGCCAATCATGGTTTGAATCCCAGACCTGGCAGCTTGAAAATCATACTGAGCACATGTGCATGCATGCCCAGAATCCCAAGAAAACAGAAGAGAGGGGATTGCAACATGCCATCTACCTGGGGGATGATTTCTCACTTTCCCTCTCTCTGTCTCCCTGTCACTCTCTTGCTCTCTGGAGAACCCACATGCCCTTTGGCAAAAACCTAAAAAAAAAGAATATATATTTCCCAGTTAATTCCCTAGTTGTAACACAGGACACATTTTTATCTCTTTTTGGACCCGCTTTTCATAAAGGGCTGTTCATTTGTCCTCTAAAATTTCCCCTCAGAGGGGAAGTCACTGTACAAGCATAAACACTGAGTGAAGAAGCAAACTTTCCAAGAAATGCTAAGTGCTCATACTGTCGTATTTCCTTGTAAAAGACTGCATGTGAAGGAGGGATAAGTCATGGCTTTGGAATTAGGATTTCATTTCTTTTTCCATGGTATGCAAAAATGTAAATTGTGAAAAGTGTAGGCCAATAATGATGTTAGGAAGACAGCTGATCTCAGTACTGCCAGTTACTTCTTTTCTGGTGACAGACATTAAGTTACTTGGGGAGACGCTCTCAACCGTCCTGTTTAATTATGCAGAGGTAAAACAAGGAGGACTTGGTATTGGGAGTGGGGTAGAGTACAACTAGACATTCCCTGCTTGAAAAAGAGAGCTTATTCCTTAAAACTTATTGGGAAGGTAGATGAGGTATTAGGTTGGATAAAGAAAGATTTGTATAAGGTTCAAAAGATTTCTTGAAAACCGCTTTAATGCTTAATGCTTTCTCTTTTGAAATTCAATAACAGGACTTGTCTGATCAATAAGGAATTAAGGAAAGGATGACATTCCTCTCTCCATCTCGTTCCTGAATGGAGACTCTCCAGTGGGACGGACTGGTCTTGCCATGCTTATTTCAGGAGCAGACAAATTCGGAGATGGTGTGCTGCTGATGCTGAAAGTGAGACCAAGTCTTTGCCACCATGGGCACGCTATAGGGAGAAAATGGTTGTATATGTATATGTGTGTGAATTTCTTAGGAGCTGTAACTAGTGGAGGTGGGGTGGAGTGGTCGAT